CCCCCCCCCCCCCCCCCCCCCCCCCCCCCCCCCCCCCCCAATACTCATCCTTGTACTGCTCTAACTGAGATCAAAATGGACAAGAATAATGATGAAATGTAGCTTCAAGTGTCTTCATTAGGCCAATTAATCAATAAAAAAAATATGTGATCAAGAAAGAAGTTTCCTAAATTGTTTTTCACCCTAATACTGCCAGGGTTCCTTTTCCCATGCGGCAGAAGGCCAATCTCCTCGCCCTTTGCATTCACTAATGGACTAATAAATAGCCTACGATAGCCTCAACAGAATATAATTGCATTATAGGCCAGTGTACACAGAATGTCTAAGTGTAGAGTTGATAATTTGTCATGTTCATTTAAAAAAGAAGGTAAAATATTACTTTAGGGAACATGGGGTATGCGATAGTCCTACCCCCATGTGGTGCACCCTAGGCAACGTATACTCATGCGGCAAAAAAGTCTATCAAACCGGCTGTTGACTTCTCACTTCAAACTACCATGACCCCAATCTATGTCATATTCCCCCACTTCCACAGTATCCACAGTATCGGATATAAATGTCCGAGTTAACTAAACTATAGGTCAACTCAGAGGATTTTGTGATACTTTAAATCAAACCGTTTTGAACAGTTTTAAATATCATATAGCGCCACACTTTGAGACCAATAATAGTCACTTTGTATGATCTCAAATTATCTTTATTACTGTCACAATCTTTTAAATTTATATTTACCAAATGATTTAGAGGACACGCAACATAAATGAGCGGTGAAAAGTAGATAAAGGTACTCTATCAAGGAATATTTTACCTCGGTGAACAAACATGGATGAAAAAATCGATATCAGCTGATTCAATGTGAATCCAAACAGGGATCAGTGTTAGACATTTTGTTTTGACTACCCGTCAGAGATCCAAATCGGGCATTGGACTTTCCATTGTCAACAACCATTTCTTCACGATCTCGTTAAAAGCCTCAGGTGAACTTTGCACACCCTCGCTCTTATGTTTCAATGGTGGGTGTGCGATAGACTTACCTCCACGTGGTGCACCCTGGGCAACGTGTACTCAAACGGCAAAAAGTCTATTAACCGGCAGTTGACTTCTGACTTTGAACTACCATCACGCCACTGTATGTCTCATTCGACCCCTACCACTGTACTCATCTTGCGTTTTCTCTGCCTTTGTGTCTGTCTCTTTTACATGTTGAATCGTCTTATAGTGGAATTTCATTGTCAGCATT